AAACCACAAATATAATTCTTGCTCCGCAAAATGTAGGAAAGCAAAGCATGTATGTCCCCTTAAAAACATGTAACAAAACAAAAAATATCTGAAAAGTAATAGCAATAAAAAGAGCAATAAATAGCAATAAAGTACCACAGGGATATTTCAAAACCAAGCTCAGTATCTGGTTTTGCTTGTATAATATATGTCTGGAAACTGCGATATCCCATTGGAAGGGAGGCTGCAGTTCTTAATAATTCTTCTTTATTGCCTTCATAATTTATCTACTGCTGCTTTGATTGTGTTGCAGGAATTGACAAAGTTTTAGAAAGCGTGATAAGGAGACCACTGGTCAGAGACAATTTTGCGTTTTCAGTTAAAGTCCTACCTTTAATCTCTGGCATTCCCTTATTTTCACTGAGGTCATTCGTGTGAAAGCGTCGCATTAAGGTGACTCTCCGGTGACATATTGAAGCACAGGGAGGGTGTATGACTTCATGCCAGCCGGTCACTGAAACCATGTGACCCAGTTGGCATGCAGGGAGGATAAATCCTGGGGCTGTGAACACACAAAAATCAGATGGAGTCGGACTATTTGCCCTTTTACCTGCTCTGTTACAGTCCTGAAAACAAAAAGCTGCCTTCTTTGTCTCTGTTTCTGTCTACCAACCCACTAATCTGTATTCCGGTTCCTTCTGTCCCCCGTTAATCTCCATTCCCCACACGCGCACTCACCACAGCCATAATCCCGCCGCCTCTCTTACTCTCAGTAGAGAAAAATCAGCGAGCGCTGCCTGGGGTGGCCAGGGGCCGATCTCCCAAGGCTGGCGGCCTCTGCATTGAACTCGGATTAGATTTGTTCTTCGGATCTTCACAGTGCGTGAATTGCCCCGGTGATGGCTCAGGAACTTCTCTGTTTATCTTTGACAAATATTGGAGAACAACTGGCCAACTGATTGTTTTATCAGGCTGCAGACTGTGTGTATGTGTGCGTGCGTGTGTGTGTGTGTGCACATTTTATTTTTCTGTCACGTACTCTTATCATGGTCACCGCTCCTTTGTTCCTACCGACCCGTGACACTTTCCATCTTCCGAGTCGTCTGTGCCCATCCACCGCGGAGAGGAATGGGTTAACTGAATCGCCCCCGTTTCCATTGTCATTTGAATAATGCTGAGCCACGGTACCCAGGAGCAGAGAGAGGCAGCGAGGCTGCAGGGGAAAGAGAGAGGATGCAGACAGAGAAGAAAGACAGGATGAAAAAGGCAGGGCGACACAAAGTTGGAAAACGGCAGAAGCGACGGCTGTAAGACAAGGTGCGCGATGCAACGCAATTCCGCTCCGAGGGGAGGGGGCGTGTTACCAGCTCATTACAGAGTGTCACCAGAGTATTGCATCAGTCTGAAGGGGACGCTCACGTTGCAGGATGACATCACCCAGCTGGCTGTGCACGCAGGAGCAGTGAGTGCCCACCAGCTTGGAGATAGTGGGGCGGGACTCGCCATCCTGCCACTCTCATTGGTTGATGCGCTGAGATGGACGGGGAAAAAAAACAATGATGGGCTTAGTGTGTGTGTCGGGGGGATTGTTGCTTGGTCTCACTCAGTTATTAACACTTCAAATACAAGATCCATGAAAATCCATAGGTCTGAACCAGGTGATAACATGAAGGAGTATCACAGCACCAATCCAGAACTCACTGGCAGAGAGGTCAGGGACTCCTGTCCCCTCAGGGCAAGCGTACTATCTGCCCCATCTCTTCATTTATGCATGGAAGCAATTATTTGTATGCTTACCTCATATACGTTTGTGTTGAAGCCCGTAGGGCTGAATTTCTACCGCACGACTTGGCTAAATCTCACATCTCAGCTCAAGTCATCAAGGTGTCAAGCTATGCCTGGCAACAGAATGCCCAAGTCGCTCCAGAAGCTCTCAACTGGCCTGTGCTGCAGATATATATTACCCACTGCAGCTATTATACTAGGCAACATGTGGAAAAGATGGAGGCTGAGAGCTTTATGTAATCATCGCTTTACTCTAGGGCTTGTCAGGTGGGAAAGAGAGCAAGGAGTATACAGCAGAAATGTTCCCCACTTGTGGGCTTCAAAGCAACAGCTCAATATTGCACGGAATCTGAAGAACTTAACCAACCTCCCCCCCCCTTGTTCAATATGACTCGGGCATCATTTAGCTCAGTCTTGTAGCTGGGCAGATTAGAACCTCTGTTTTGGCTGCTCCCGGTTGGTACTGGGGTGTGTGGTCGACCCACTAGCTCAACCCTTGCAGTCAGTAATGAAGAGAGTAATCTTTCCGTTTTTGAGGCTTGCATACATTAGGCCGTCTCGCGGGCAGGCCGCCCTCCACAGCATCTATTATTCAGAATCAATGTCTTGTTTCTGTTGTTATTGAGAAAGGACTGTGAGACGGGAAGGGGGGGGGGGGGGGGGGGGGGGGGGGGGGGGGGGGGGGGGGGGAGGGCGGTGACCTGATAAGGAGGGGGGGGGAACATCTGCAAGCTCACAGATATGGCACGAGTTTGAGAATGCATATTCTCATTAATCTCTGTCAAGCACTCTTTCTGCCAAAGGGTGCGAAAAAGGGCTTTTTGCATTTCGTAAAAATGTGGAGATAAGCCAGGAAGCGGAAACTCGAGACTCGGAGTGGAACAGTTACTTAAAAGTTCCCTTAAGGGAATGCACTTGTTTCAGTAGACATCTACTGTTCAAATGGGTAAAATGTCTAGCGTGTAATTAATATAGCCATTAAAACTTTCTGTAAACTTGATTTCAGGGACTCTTCTAAAATGTAGTAGATCTGTCATATATTCCCTGTTAGGAAATGACAGATTCCATATTAGCCAATGTACTGCTGAGCAGTCGTTTCCTTACCCTGCAGCCCATATGTCAGTCTCAATACGCTTGGAGTTTGCTGTTTGCATGGATCTTTATTAGTCTTGCAATTTATTTTTAACCACGGCAGCTTACAGGTCAAGAACACACATAATGGTGTCAATTTTTGCATGAATCACATACCTTATGTTTGTATTTTTGAGTTTTTGTTTGTTTCTTTTGGGGGGGTGTTCCTGTTGGTTATGATTGTCGGTTCTGGGGGTCATTGTTTTGGATCCTTCTGTCCATTTTGCATTATGTCACAACACAGACAATGTGAGCGGTTGAAACTCGTAACAGCGTGTCTCTGTGTTACCCACAGGCCATCTGGGGGGGATCGTCTTGTGCTGGTTAATAGGTGCATTGGACATGGACTATGTGGAGCCATATAGGCTATGCAAGTGGGGGGTCTTCCCATTTTGATGGACAGATGAGACAGACGGGAATGAAAATGATGCCAGGGGAATTGTTTGAGCCGCCTGGAACAGCAGATTGGTGGCTGGACCGTTACGGTACTCTGATGTAGGGCGTCATGCTTCTGAGTAATTAGGGGGCTATCATCGGAAATAAAATGTTTCTGTGTCTATTCTGTTTGTATAGCACAATAATGTATGCGGTTCATTTGAATAATCTGGTAGCTGGGATATAGCCATTTTTTCCAGTTAATGGTTCTTGACAGAACTTTATCAATCAGTGTCAGAATGTTTTCTGGGAGCTATATGCATCTGTTATCAGTTAAGTAGAATAAGTATTCAACATAATATTTACAACCAAATGTATTTTTAAATACTAATATAGCAGAAAGTACATAAAAGTAAATTACCTGTGAGGAGCGTCTTACCATTTAATCAATGGTATTATCTAAGACAAGCTATGGGAATGTGATGTGCGCGACAAGAATAGCTACTGAAATATATAGAAATATTGAAATATAAGAACATTGTTTTGCACATACGATGTCCTACCTGATACAAAATTATCACAATTGTCGTTATATTTTCTGCTTAAAACAGTGGAAAACTGACTGCCGTATACCGAGGTGGACACTATGCACGCATCGGCGCTTTTCATGAGAGCGCGGTCCCTTTGTCTCTCATAGTAACCGTTTCGGCCAATCTGGCCCCGTCGTCCGCCGTTCTGGGTTTCCCATTGGTCCGCGAAAAGCACGCGGTCACCCAGCGCCCGTCTCCCCTTCCACTTGCCTTACCCCCGCCCCCTGCAAAAAATGGGAAGACAAAGACGTGCAGCTCCAACTTTGGCGGCGGAGCTGGAGCACGAGCTCTGCTCCCATTGGCTGCTGTATCTGGAGCTTGCGTGCTGCGCAGCACTTAGTCACGGTAGACCGAGACGTACCATTTCATTAACTGGAAAGGGGGATTTTACAGTGATGTCATTGATTTTCAGAAACAAAATCAAATTTAAACTTTTAAATCTCTAGACGATTCAAAGACATTTGTAATCTCTATACGCAATTGATTCTGTTATGGGTGAATTTAGTAATATTTCTGGTGCCGTTGGGCTTTTCTCTTCCGAATTGTGCCTTTGTGGTTAAGTGTCCCTCCCCCAACAGCTGGGCGCGGAGTGGTCTTTTCGGGATGATGTGAAAGGTTGCTCTGCTGGCCCCTGGAGCCTTAAAAATGAAGGCTACAGCCAGTTCTTTGGAGAACGGATTGGACAGTAGAGCTGGTATCTACTTTCTGTTCTGCGGGACTGTTACAGTTTTCTACATGTCTGAACAAGTGCAGCAGTGAAGCCTGGTGCTTTGTTGTTGTTTTTTAATATATATATATGTAAATTGATTATTGCAATCTTATTTATTGTGAAGCAGGAATTTGCATTGAAGGCTGTTGAAGACACCTGGGTTGCTGTACGTGCATTCAGCTGGTTGCATTAAACCCACAGTCCTTTTGTACAGTGTTGGTCTGCAGTTTATTTTTTTCTTTCATTTTGGAGAGAAAAAGAGACATTCTGTACTTATTTCCTGTATAGTTAAACAATGTACAACACAGTTTGGAGTACGGGGAAGGAAGAAGATGACTGGAGGGACGTGATGATGCCGTATTCCACAGAATTAATATTTTACATAGAGATGGACCAGCCGCCAGGTATCGCCCGCTAACACCCGCTTTCTTTTTTGCTTTATTTGCGCTAAAGCGTATAGAGCAGCGCCCCGGAGCTGTTGCATGTAATCGTCCGGCCGTTTGTGTCTTTGTCTTTGTGTGTCTCCGTGTCTTTGCATGTCTCGTTTCCGTCGGTGTCCGTCCGTCTCATTTTCTTTTCTGTCAGGTCCTCTTATGCAATACTAAAGTACGGGGCTCATGCACTTGTCGCCCGATTATTTCGCAGAAACCATCTTCTAAAACGTAAGGAAGCAAAAAGTCAGGCGACTTTCTTATAAACATTCAAGAACCTCTATGCAGGAATATATACAAGCCATACATATAATATACGTGTGTGTGTGTGTGTGTAACGTTTATGTGTGCATGATAATTTATCGGGCCTCTGATCGCAGTTTTGCGGATCATTTGCTTTTCCCACTCGGACGGGTCGCTCCGGCTTCAGGCATCCTGCTTGGTGCAGTAATGCACCTCTTCCGCAAAGTGCATCCTTACAGTTTTCAGAATAACCACTCAGCTCTGCCGGCTTGACAGCTCTCTGATCGGCCTCCTTCGTGGATTGATGGCAAGTTTGGGTTACAGGAATCAGCCTGTGCAGCCAAGTGTGAGCCGCACTCCGGCCCCATTCATATGGATACTGTTTCTCCTGTTTTCACCATTTCTGATGTCTTGATTTCTTCATCTGTGTGCTCCGTCCGGTAAAATGGAATTTATTTCTATCCGCAGCCATAATTTCGCATTCGCTTTTTGTTAATATATGGAAAAAGTTAATGTATTAGTTTCCAGAACTGTGGAAGTATAGGGGATGTACACCAACAGCCGTAAAAGTTGTATTTGGCACTGAAACAAAGCCTAGATATGTTAACAGGCAATCTAAGTGCGAAATTAAGTTTTGGCGTCCATGCATTTTGCATGACAGCCGTGCGCTCCGCTGATCTGCGTCTAAAGCAGCGTTTCCTTTATATGCCGTCGGCAATAATGATATTTAATATACGGCCTCTTAGGCTGGCCTTTGAGTGAACCCTCTTTCCCTATGCTCACCGCAAACCTCACATGTCCTGTATCGTTTCTCGGCCACTTGACTCTCAAAGTGCCCGGAGTAGTGTGTGTGTGTGTGTGTGTGTGTGTGTGTGGGGCGATTCGGGGGTAGTTTTAAGCCTTTAGATTAAACAGCATAATGTGCAAATAAACCTCACCCTGGTATGTTTCTCCAACAGTTTTATGTATCAATTCAAACATGAGCTTCTGAATAGCTGCCTTTGTGATACCTTTTACCTGTGCTGTGGTTTACAGAAGGTAGTTTGTGGTGTTAGGTTCTTAGGCACAAAATGGCAGTGAAGTGCAAGCCCTGATGAGCAGGATGTTGATGCCAGTCAGTGTCTGTTTGAGTGTGTGGTCTCCTGCACCCGTGCTTGGTCCTGGAGACCTGTGGGGCTCCTGTTGATCTGCTTTGAGGGCTGCAGCATTACTTAGAGGTTTTTAAAATGGCTGAAATGTGGTGTACCGTATGTAGGCGATCCATTGCACTTTATGGCGCTTGGATGTGTTTTTTTGGAGTGCCGGTTAACACGTTGGTAAATCTGAGGGATTTTAACAGGAGTCTTCCTGAGGAGCATCGGTTCATCACGATTAGGGTTGTGCGAGTTCTCCAGCCATTCATCCCCGCACTAATCAGAAGTGGTTAATTTAATAGTTTTATTCCTCACATCTCCTAGCATGCTGAACGTGGGTCTGTGACACTGTGACACACCCTGGCCGTGGCCCTGACAACAGTCCCCCACCCCCACCCACACCTGGTGAATGGCAGGGGGCAGGTGCTCATTCGCAGGTGTCAATGTACGAAGATAAGTCTAAAGTCTTGTGTTATCTTATCTTCTCATCTCGTGCTCCCTCACGGCTGAGCATAGATGTGGAGGTGACTGCAGAGGGTGCCTTCTGTTAGTGATTTAGGATGCACTTTAAGTGCAAACAGACCACAATCACCCAGTGCAATTATTATTATTATTATTCTGAAACATTCAGTCTGTTTCGATGCCATAGGAATTTTATATTTACTCATTGATGACAGTGGGTTGTCTGTTCCGTCCATCGTGCCCGATCTCCGGTTTTGACCCTGTGGTGGTCAGGACTCCCTGTCCTTGGTATCCGCATGTGTCTCTCAGCCGTGGCCTGGTCCCTGCAGCGCTCAGGGACAGAAGGCCAGCCGCGGAGCTGGATCCAGAGCACCCACCTTCCTTTGGAGTCTTATCCCACCACTTATCCCTATGGAAGGATGGTAAACAAATATTCCCTTAGGTATCTCGTGATTCGCATTCTCATTTATCTATGTTAAATCTCTCAAAACATATTTAGGAGATCATTTTCATTATTGTGTTTTTTGCTCTATGACCCTGACCAAAATAAACGGTTAGAAGAAGGATGGATGAATGATTTTTTGTCACCACAGTCTACTGTCCACTCAGCGGATCATAAACAGACTCTCCAAGCCGTTTGAAGCTTCAGCCCACCCCTGCCTGCCCTGTATCGCTGGCCTCGAACGCCCCATGCGCCTTGAACGTGTCCAGCAGTAATTCAGCCTGGCCAGAGGCCTCAGGCTCCAGGTCCAGCCAGGTGCAGCAGGGGGCTTTAGCAAACAGTTGCAGCCCCCATGTCTGCGCAGCCAGCTGCATCCTGCATATCGGCACGGCGCTGATCTTTATTTTTACTACCCCCGTTCTTCACGTCTAAACCCTGAGGTGGGGGTGCAGGTTTATATACGAGAGCTTACATGGTGTCCTCTGTACACACTTCATGGTGGGGTGACGCGTGCCATGCACCCCCCCCCGCTGAGTTTGCTGTTGAACGCTTGATCGCCATGCAGGCTTGGGTTGCCGGCTGCTCTTCATCGCTGGCCTCCATGTCCTCAGCCAGGCGCCCATAAAGGACCAGGGATCTCTCTGAAAACGCCGCCTCCTGCCGTCATCGTGCCTCCATCGCTCTCGTGGAGCCTTCCTCTCCTTCTGCACTCTGCCGCCAAGACCTGCCTTTTGTTCTCAGGAGGTTCAGACGCAGATGAGGAGATCACATTGCTGCCTGAGACCTGCAAGAAGTTGCCCCCCCCCCCCATTTTGGACTAAAGATCTTTAAAATAAATGTATATGAGTTGGAGACAGGTCAGCCTCCTCCCTGGGGCTGCTGATGGTCTGTCCCGTGGCGTTGGGAGTGTGGCTCCTCCTGCACACTTGTTTTAAGTCCTTGCTCTTGCGTTTTGTGGGTGGGGGGTAGAGTGGAGGCCATTAAAGCTGCTTGCTCTGTGTTTTCATCCACCCCCAATCTCTCCACTTTTGGTTATGCGGTTACAAACTCTTTTAAAAAAAAAAAAAAAAAAAAAAGAAGCTGACAGCAGGAAACTGCAGCTTGAGGTCGGTCTCCTGCACCTGCCTTTTGGTGGGGGTAGGGGGGGGGGCTCTGCGTTCTGCCTCCCGGGTTTCTGAATGGTGCTTTGTGACATGGTGTGGTTCACTGGACGCCCTCTGCACATATACGTGTGCATGTGTGTGCGTGTGCATGTGTGTGCGTGTGCATGTGTGTGCGTGTGCATGTGTGTGTTTTCTGGTGCGCTGCCGGGCCTCAGGGCTGTGGATGTATCATTAATCCCGTAATTACAGTGCTGGCATGGACAGCACAGAGGGCACGTACCTTAAACTGCAGTGAGAAACCGCGCTTTTAGCAGTGACCTCGCTGCGTAAATGTGCCAGGTGACTTTGTCCAGTCTGCCTCCTACTGCAGAAAAGTACATGTACCTAAGTAAACGAGGTGCATGTAAACGCTGGGGAATCGCGTCAGCATGAAAGTGAAAGGAGGGTGGATCTTCATGTCCTGGGGAGATTTACTGCTGTCAGAGGATGAATGACCCCCCCCCCCCTCCCCCGCCCCACACCAGCCGCAGTGACATGTCCTGGCTTGCCATGGCGTGAGAGTGGGGGATTCCCAAGGAAAGTCCAGGGTCGGGCTGGGCAGGGGAACGGGTGGGACATGGCAAGCTGGTGGAGGCTTGTGTGATCGGAATCGCCCCCAGTGTCTGCACGTCCCCTCAAGTGATGCAGGGGCATGGCATCTTTACAGTGACGGCATTCAATGCGAGCCAGTGACATGTGACACCGTCTGGGGACTTCAGCTGCTGGTGTCCCGGGGGTGGTGCTTTTCAGTGACTGGGATAGTGTGGGCGCTCTCTGTTCCTATTGTAGCGGCCACTTGACCAGTGTGACTCGAATTCCGCATTATATGCAACGGTACACCGCCGCTCATAAGTGGCATCGGTGACTCATCGATGCCGCATTTTGGAATCACGTTATTCTGGCCCGACGCAGAGGCCAGACTCATTTGTTTGCCGTTATCTGCCTCCTGCTTAAGCCACGTCCTGGAGAATGGCTCCAAGGGTCTGGTTGCTGTCTCGGCTTCCGGGGTGGTTGTGGATCTCCAGCCTGCTGCACGAAGGTGTCCTCATGACAGCTCAAAGAGAAGCAGGCCAGTCTCCGCTCTCACTGGGTTTCTGAAGCTGTCCAGCTGCGTAGCTGGCTTCCTCGAGCGGACGGGTGGGGGGGGGGGGGGGGGGCGGGTTGGAAATGGCATTTCAAAAATCCACTTTCCTGAGACCATATTTCCTGTGAAAACAGCCCTGTGAAGTATAAAGAGAGTATTGAATCTGGAGGGGGAGAGTATTTGTGGTTTGCTGGGGCCTGCCAGAGGCTTTGATTAAAATGCCCTGGACCTGGAGGGGGTGGGGTGGCTGGTTACCCCTGAGCCGAAGTGTGTATGCCCCAAAAAGGCCCCTCTTTTGTGGGGCGCAGCAGTGCGGAAGTTAGTGTAAGGCTCGCCGGGCGCTTGGGCAGTGGACGGTGTGGTTTGGCTCCGCCGTCACGGGGCGTGTAGATTATATAAAGGAGCTGCTGTGAGACTGTGGGGGAGCAAGTTATTTTACAGCTGCACCTGGCTCTGCGTCTGCCCCAACCCCCCGAGCAGCAGAGCCTGGAGGCAGCCAGGCAGTGATAGGCATCACTAAGGGGTTCCTCTTCAAAGGAAGCAGGCCCCATATGTCCACCGCCTCTACAGCTCCGGGTAGTATGGACCCATTTCTTTTGGCTATTGGTAAATTCGTTGGTGGTGTTAAAGGGTTCTCTGCCCCATCCCTGTACTTTGTTTGTTCTCGTTTTAGAGGGAATTGATCATGGAGAGTCTGGACAGGTTGGGCTGAGTTAATCCCTCTTGTTGTCGGAGACAGTGTAGAGATCAGACTTCACACCGCTTTGGATCGATTGGCTGTTGCTGCTGTGAATATGCGAAGTGCGAAGTGTGGACTGGCCTTTGCTAAGCTATTTTAACACTTAAAGCCACACCCCTACCAGAAACACAGAGCAGGCGTGCCGAGTTTCTGTGAAGACTGCACTTTAAGAAGTCTGCTTTTATTTAAACAATGGACTTAATTGACCATTCTTGCCCGTCCAGCTACTCGGTTTCATCCCAGTTAAATGCCATAGTTCTTTTGCTTCTTAAAATAAGATTTGGTGAAGTCATATGGTGACGCAAGATTATTTTTGGTGCCTGTATGTAAACCAGAGGCAAATAATGTCACAGCACACTTTTTGTTCTGAATTGCTCGCCAAATTCGTCATGGGAATACTGCTTCGCCTGGCTCTGTTTGGCTACTCGATTGACCTGTTTTGAAGGAAGACATTCATTGCCCTTCTGAATTTGAGGAAGCTGACCGATGGTTGTGTTGACATCTTCCTCCAAATACCTTCTTCCCTTACTGCCGTTTCACTCACTGGACATCTGTTCCTGACCTTTGTCTCCGTGTTTCAGAACTACCAGTTCTAAGTTTGCCCCCTTTGTACTCCTCCAGCTCTTCCCCCCAAGCCGACCAAGCCCATGACGCCCATCAACAGCAACGGCGTCAAGGACGCCCCCAGCAGTTCACTTCAGGACGCCGAGTGGTACTGGGGTGACATATCAAGGTGAGTGTCTAATGTCGCTACGCAGGGAAGCATCCCATGGAGTTATCCCCAGAAGATACCCCCCATTTCAATGTTGTCGGAAGGGTTTTAGGATTCACTGCATCAAAAAAACATTCCATGGATGTCTCCGCAGAGACAAGCGTGTGCGTGTCCCACATTCAGCTTGGTCATGAGATCCCTTTGCAGAACAGAAGAGCTGTTGTACCAATCCAGCAAGTCAGAGAGCTGCCCTTTTCTCCCTCACTGACCCTCTGTTTCATTTCTGAGGTAGTTTCTCTGGTCACATCTGAGCCTAGCTGACTAAGCACTGGCCATCGTCCCCCTGAAGACAATGACGTCCTGCCCTGCGGTTGGTGGTTTATAATCACCAGTCTGGTCTTTTTTTCACCGACACCAGTGTTCACTCTTTAGAAGTACATGAGTTTGTGCTTTAAATGAATGGGGAAAAAATTATTGTCTAAAATCCAGGCATGTAAACCATTAAGCACCGTTTTTAAGTGAGCCAGTGCTTACAGGGTGGCTTAAGGCCTCTTTCATGTAGACTTTTTCTAAAGTACAGGTAGGAGTTCCTAGAGCTGATACAGGAATCCAAGGACTCTCGTACCTAGAGGCAACAGCAGAATTGGGGCTTGGGGGAGTTAAGGTCTTTGAGGAGATTTAACACATCTTGGGTGGGGGTGTAATCCGTTTGCCATTGCTCTGTGGTCTCTGGGTCAACACCAGTCACTAAATCTCCAGTCTGGCCCCCCCAGGCGGTTAAAGATGGGTACAGGCTCCGAGTGAGAATCATGAAAATGCTCCTCTCTGCATATTTCCAACCCCGAGGCACCGATGTCTGCTGTCCATTGGGGACCTTGCAGTTGGTCTGCTTATGGAAACAGTTATGCATTTAGATTCGGGAATCGGATTGGAAATAAAGCTTTTACATTTATGCATGTTTTATATGCATTGAGTCTTGTGGGTGGGAGAGGAGGATGTATGGATGCTCATGAATAAGGAGATGAACGAAGGAATGAAAACAAAGAGCAGTAGGCCTAGCGTGTGTATGTGGGACAGATCTGTAGGACGAGGAACTGTTTAACATTGAAGCCTGTCCGAGGGTGGATAAAATATAGGATGATTTCCTGGCTGCAGGATCTGCTGGCAGTCTGCTTTGCTTAATTCATGGCACTTTTTCTTCAGTTCATCAAGTATCCGGATGAATTAATGGCCTGCTTTCAAATCCTGATCCTCGTGTGTTCAGGGAGCAGCCCTGGTTGCATAATGAGGGATGTTAATGTTCCACTGGGCTGTAGATTCCAGGCAGTGGCCAAGGCCGAGGCTGATCTGTCACAATCTCAGCGTGACGGGAACATCCCCCAACAAGATTCTTTTGTGTGCTCTCTCGGTGTTGGCCTGCGGTTCTGCTTCATGCTCTGTTTGTTCAAATTAATCGAAGTTGTTTGATTGGATATAAAACGGGGTAGTGTTAACTTAGCTGCTGAGTTGAGCTGAATGTTTGCTACCTGGAGTAGCAAATAAGAATCTGCCTGAGCATCTTTGCTAGGGAGTCACCAGCCTCCCTCCCTCCTTACCTCAGCTGTTCATGCTGCTAATTTTATTCTGCTACCATTGACGGGTGGTCAGCTTTCAGGTGACCACTGCCTTGCAACTTGCAAGGGTTGCCTAGAATTTCAAGCTGGTTCCCAGATAGACCGACCAGACTATTTCCAAAGCTAATTCTCATAGATCTGTGGTAAAAGTGTGAGTGGAGAATTCAGGAAGTCCTTCTGAGGCCTGGTAAAAAGGATTGAGTGATTCTACTCTGGTAGCCATCAACTTGTTATGGTTAAGGTTTCTCAACCTACATACTGAACTTCCCGAAGCCCCGACACTGGTAAAAATGCTATTGGTCTATGTGGTTATGGATTGGAGGTGCCCCTTCCTATCTAATTATCTAAAGGGCTCTTAACCCTGTGGGTTGTCTACCTTGTCTATAGGGAGGAAGTCAACGATAAGCTCCGGGACATGCCAGACGGCACCTTCCTGGTTCGTGACGCCTCCACCAAAATGCAGGGGGACTACACACTAACACTGAGGTAAATATGGAGTAAATGAGGAAAGAGTCCTGTGGAATTTCTCTAGTGCCATTGGTGTATGGCTTTGGTGGATTTGTTTGACCTTCTCTAATCTCCTGACTTCACCAGGAAAGGTGGCAACAACAAGCTGATAAAGATCTATCACCGGGACGGAAAATACGGCTTCTCCGACCCATTGACCTTCAGCTCCGTGGTGGAGCTGATCAGCCACTATCGCCATGAGTCCTTGGCCCAGTACAACACCAAGCTGGACGTAAAGCTCATGTACCCCATATCCCGCTACCAGCAGGTATATGACAATGGTGCACTCACCTCCACCTCTGAGGTGCATTAGTAGCATGGAATTTGCTGCTAATTTACAAAGCCAGCGTGCGTCATCAGAAACCAAAGACCTGCAACGTCAGACACCTCCTAGACATTCACTTTATTTTTAGCCTTCATTGCCAAAGGATGTGTGGTGACAGGTTGTTCGGAAACATTCTAGCAGAAGTAGGAGAAAGTCTGAAGTCATACTTGCAGAAAAGCATGCTTGTAAGCCTCTTACCTGCTGATCTCGCATGGAAAGGTTGCCTATAAATCGATGTGGTTCCCCTGTTGCATTCCAGGATCAGCTGGTGAAAGAAGACAATATCGATGCTGTTGGGAAGAAGCTTCAGGAATATCATAGTCAATATCAGGAGAAGAGCAAGGAGTACGACAGACTATACGAGGAGTACACAAAGACCTCCCAGGTGAGTATCAATGCAATAAAGAGAAACAGTGGTGTTTAGCGTCAATAAACAAACAGCATTGCAAATGTTGACTTCTGGTGTTATTGCCAGCCCTCACTTATCTGAACACATCACCTGCAGGGATATACAGTACAGCTGAGATGTTTGGAACAACTGAGCTTGGTTCTGTGTTAACCCACCCAACAACCATTCCGTAATTCAGGAAATCCAGATGAAGAGGACGGCAATCGAGGCCTTCAACGAAACCATCAAGATCTTTGAGGAGCAGTGTCACACGCAGGAGCGCTACAGCAAAGAGTACATTGAACGCTTCCGTAGGGAGGGGAACGACAAAGAGATTGAGAGGTAGGTCCTTTAACTCACCTCCTCGGTCCGGTCCTGACTGCCAAGTTGCCGCCTATTAATAAGTCTTTCCAGGAAGTTGCCAGTGGTGTTGGTCTGGAGATATTAAGGTAACTGGCTAGCAGCCCGGCTCCTGTTTCCCATCTAAACACAGATGCCAAACACTTGTTCCATAGGATCATGATGAACTATGAGAAACTCAAGTCACGCCTGGGCGAAATCCATGACAGTAAAGTCCGCCTGGAGCAGGACCTGAAGACGCAGGCGCTGGACAACAGAGAGACGGACAAGAAGATGAACAGCCTGAAGCCAGATCTCATCCAGCTGCGCAAGATCAGGGATCAGTACCTTGTGTGAGTGCCATCTTCCAACACTTGGTTTCTTCACTATGGACATCAGTAGGGCCAAGCTGGAACTGCTCTCCTGTTACTTCTCCCCAAAACACTGACCATTCATGTCACGCAGCATTACACTGTTTGAGGTGGAGCTTTTCCCCCTTTAATTATTTCAGGCTAGCAGCTGGGTGTCAGTTAAGTTTGTACCTTGATGTACCAAAGGTCTCTGCATGGTTCTGTCTGCTAGGCTGGACCTGTTCCAGTATTCAGCAGTACGTGTTTCGTAAGGAATTCACACTGATCACACGGTTCCGGTTTAAAGCGGCTGATCATACTGTGAAGATGATGACTTCTCTGGGGGGATATGGCTTTTACTTCATCATGCAAAGGGTTGGAAACTTGCCTGTAGTCACCGCCATGCAGGGTCTAATGTCTCCGCTCAGACGGATTTAAACCCTTTTTCAACTTCTCTCCATCAGCCGGCGGTTTTCCACTTATCTGTACGCGCGGGACCGTGGTGACATTTTCTTACTTTGAGTTTCTCCTTCCAAACATTAGTTTGTGCTGAAATATCCCGAAGGGTCGTCATTAACAGCCTTTCAGCTTTACATTGTGCCGCCACATTGGGAGAATTCAGAATTAATCCGGGGAAATTGCCCAATGGCATTATGGGAACTTTCTGACAATTGGCATGAATTTTAGACCACTGCTGCAGTCATTCTGCTAATACACCCCTCTTGTGCCTTTGCCCTTCAGATATTAGTGTGATAGGAGGTCAGTTGTTGAACCACATGTACTTTTGTGTTCTGTAAAGCCACCTAGTATAACACACTCTCCCTGCTTCCCCAGCTGGCTGAACCATAAAGGTGTGCGTCAGAAACGCATCAACGACTGGCTCGGCATCAAGAACGAGAATGCTGAAGAGTAAGTAAATTCTTTCGTGCCGTGTGGGTGACTTGTGATATAGCGTTGCCATGGTAAAGTTGCATTACCGATGACCACAGTGTGGCCATTGTGTTAACTTTATTTTTACCAATACATTTGAATTTGCAGTACATCAGTTATTGCTAATTAGGTTGTCTATTTCATATTGAGATGTTTCAGTGCTTTTTGTCCCAGCATGGGTACCATAGACTACAGTGTGGATTGAACACAATGGTTCATGAAGTTTCTTAAAGGTGTTATTTTATCAAGGAGCAAGTGTAGCTGGAGATGGGGTGTATGTTTCTGATGGGGGTAAACGTTCTGCCAACTCTCTTTTATAGTAATAAGTTTCTAAATTGCCAGTTCTTTTTCAAAATATGATTAAGCCTCGACTCTGAGCTGCATAATTGTCAGTGCCATCCGGAAACCGACCATGTCCCGCCCTCATTCTCCCGCAGGGCTTATTTTGCGACGGAGGAGGACGAGAATCTGCCACACCATGACGAGAAGAGCTGGTTCGTGGGTGATCTAAACCGCACGCAGGCCGAGGACCTTCTGCTGGGCAAACTGGACGGCGCCTTCCTCATCCGCGAGAGCAGCAAGAAGGGCTGCTATGCCTGTTCTGTGGTGTGAGTATCCGCGTGCACCCACCATCACCACGGCAACCGAGAGCCCAGTAGCGGAGTCCTACCTCAGTAAATCTCCAGACAGATGGAGGTAGAAAAGCCACTTTTACCATGGTGTCTGAGAGAAGTCATAACCTAAAGTCTTCTACTCTTCTAGTAAACATAGCCGTCATGTACACTAGGGGTATCAAACTCAAGTAAAGTGGCTGCTGACTAGGTGGCGCTGAGAAAGCCACTTGAGAAAGACGAGAGTCCAAAAAAAAAAAAAAAAAACGCAGTATACGAATATTATTCGATCGATTATTCAAATATACGATCAATTATTCGGCAGGCAGGTCAGATTAATTATAGTTAAAAATCATGGCACAGGCTGCTACTTTGAGATCCCTGGCGTACACTATGGTGCTGATTAGCCACCTACGATTTTTAGGGCAAAGCAAATTAACCAGAGAAGAAGTGATATCAAGCTAAAAGGAAACAGGTGCAGTTTTTAGTAAGGAAGGTGTTAAAGGGCCGACCAGCTGGCCGAGCGACTCGTAAATAGAAACCAGGCATCGAGCCTCATTGATGTCTGTCGAAGGCAACCTGAGTAGGAAGACCGATGCGTCTCTCTGAGGCAGGCGGGGTATTAAATGGCCTTATGTTCACCTCCGCAGGGTGGACGGGGAGGTGAAGCACTGTGTGATCTACAGCACGCCGCGCGGATTCGGCTTCGCCGAGCCCTACAACCTGTACGGCAGCCTGAAGGAGCTGGTGCTGCACTACCACCAGACGTCACTGGTCCAGCACAATGACTCCCTGAACGTGCGGCTGGCCTACCCCGTCTACGCACAGATGCCATCCCACCGCCGATGAGCTTGGGTCCAGACACATGCACGCACAGTCAGGAAGAAAAGCGCAGGGGGTGGAGGGGGAGGGGGGGGACACCTCTCGGACGAGGAGGACCATTTCGACATTAACCCTTCGCTGCAGCACATGCGTGTCTGCCACCTTGGAGTTATGTTATATATATATATAAACATATATTTTTACTAGCACATTTGGAGGGCATTCTTTATAAAGATCGCTTGATTTGCACAAGGAAGCTGTAATGTTTCGTGAATGTGAAGCAGGGGGAACGAGAGCAGCGGCGTTCCGGGAGATTCCGCCGCGCTCCATCTGAGACTCGTTAAGGTGTCGTCCTGTTAGCTCACCTTCCTGACGTCGTCGTCGTTAACGTTCCTCGTTCACTTCCTCGCCTGGTTGCAAAGGACGGCGTCTCTTCCTGGTTAGAAACAAAAAGCTAAAATAATGTAGCAGTACGGACAAGACGTTTCACATTTCCGGATGTTTCGCGGGACGAGGTCTCAGTGGGAGGTGTTTGTGTGTGTGTGTGTGTGTGTGTGTGTGTGTGTGTAATTTTTTTTTATACCAATAAGAGCACAGTTGGGTTTTTCCCGCTCTTTTAGCCTGCGTTTCCAGTGCCGCATTTCTCTCGTGCTGCGTCACTCCGGCAGAGACAAGGCTTCAGTGACGTTTTGTCAGGAATACATGCAGCTTCGGTTCACGGCAATATTCTCTAGCTTGTACCACACATTTTGAGTTGGTGCTCTTAAATTACAGCTCTGTACTTAATTGACCAAATTGTGTGCACAGAGATCCTTGGTTTGAAGCACTTATTTACCAGAAACACCTGCAGCTGCACAATTTTTACACCAAATCTTAGAACGTGGGGAGAAGATCCTAGTCATTGTGTTTGAAATGTGTATGCATATGCTAGTCTTCTAAGCAGCAAGCTTTTTTGGTTGTTTATATCTACTTTGCACCTATGTGAAACTTTGAATTATTCAACGTACATGAAGCTGGAACAACGATTGAAGACACAGGCTTTGGAAGACCGAAGAAGACTTGAATAAAGTGCAATCCAACACGTATTGATAGTAGGGTAGAAGTCTACCAGAACGCTGCACTAACCCTGAGTGGGAGGGATGTCAGATAATCAGGCTCGACCTTGGCAGGAAGGAACCGGAGAGATGAGGACTATGCTTATGGAAGCATTTGACGGTGATGGCTGGCACAGTGACCTTGCTGCACAGCATCCACATCCCTTCGCTAGTTTAGCCCGAATGCTGGTGAGCTTCTTCAGGCCTGTGGTGAGATTTACCAGTTAGATTCTCAGCGTAGGCCAGCTGATCCTGAAATCTTGGTAACTAGTCATGTTGCAGAACAGAAATTTGCCGTGGTGGGACTTTTTCCTTCTTTTAAAGTTCTGGTACAGCCCCATTATGGAAATTTTGGACATTAGGGAAAACTTTGGTTACGCAGAGCGGAGTGCTTTTAAAGTCAGACCAAATTTAAATTTAGGTGCTGGGGAGAGGGGGATTGAACCCCTTCCCCCCCAACTGATGTTTGGACAGTTTTCTCCCAAGTAATTCAAACATTTTGAACTTGTGTTTAAGTTCATAAGTACCCCCCCCCCCCCGCAGGCCCTTGCTCACGTACTGATTGGAGGTCATTGTGCCATGTGCTGTCAGCAGCTGTCCATCGTTATGCACAGGGTCGGCGGTTCGACTCGGCGTGATGTCGTTGTTGGTACAAGCTCATGCTGTTGGCTAGGTGGATGTGTGGAGGAGCAGAAGTGCGGCCTTTGAAGCCCCCCGCTCTTTAAAAACCTGCCCACCTTGCTCTGTCCATGGGATATTTTATGCCCGTGGGGGGGGGGGGGTTGTGAGGCATGAGCCGACCCCCCCCGGGACTCTTGTCCTTTAGCCTCTGCACCAGGTGGTGCCGGGTTACTGACCTCACCTCGTGCCCAGAGCGAGACGACTTGAGGTAGGGGACTCGTCCTTTTTGGCGGGATCCCAGCCACGCAAACCCATCGGCGGCCGTTATCTGGTCACCTTTTGCTTTCGTCGTTGTGTTAAAGACGCAGCCAAAGGCCTGTTTTTCGGGACGCTGGTGTCAGCGCTGACCGGCGGCCTTCCTTGATGCTGAAATCCTCCCACTCCTCTGGAAAACAGGCTCTCGCTCGTCGTTCATGAAGGCCGTGTATCTTAACGCCATTTTTATTGTTTTTCTCCTTAATCTAGGACCTCCGAAGGGCCCTGTGTCTTACTTGAACAATGGCATTGGTCACTGTTGAATGTTTTTATATGATCTATATAGAGATATACATATATAAATATACATTTTATTGAGAAAAGGACAAAAAAAAACTTATGCCAAGCGAAACTTGATTCGAAGTCTTGATTTTTAATGGCATTTGGAAACGTTTGGGAGTCTTGAAGTTCGTTGCAGGGGGGGGGGGGAGTTTTAGTTCTGAAGTTTGGGGAGGGTTGCTAGTCTTTGATGTGGAGCTCGTATTTAAAACTGTGACTTCTGCGGTGATTTTGCCCACTTCCAGGGCACTGGGCTTGTGCTATAGAAACCCCTGATGCCTGTGTGAGGGATTGTTTGGGGGGGGGGGGTTCTCTGACCATTTTTCTTCATCGCACCCCCGTTTCCCGAGGCATTGAGACCAAAGATTTAAGTTTACTCAGTTTGTTAGATAGTTACAAAGGGATAGAGAGCTTTTTGGTTAATTTTTTTTTTGACTCTCCATACTTGAGTTGCTGGGACATTGAAGAAAGAGCCGACAGACTTTCCCTCAGACACTCTTTCATAGTGCTTGAGGCAAAGGATCATGGGAAGGCTGTAGGATCCATCACCGTGGGGGGAGGGTGGGACTTAGGTCAACCAATGGCAAACTCCCTCCTAAAACTGCTGGGACTGATTTGAAAAATGTTAAATCTCACTTGTTATAGGTTTGACATCTTTGTCAAACAGAGAGGGTTGCTTTTAAGGTTCTCCAGACATATATATATAATGCCTCCTCCACTGTTCAGGAACTCAGCTTTGTATCTCCCCCCAAGATATCACCCTCTGCTCTACGATTTGCACACTCCAATCTGGAGACATGGGTGGCGCCGTTGTCCTGTATCAAACGCACGTGGCCACGCCTTTCCTACCCTGCTCGTTTTCGTGGTTCGTCTTTAACGGTAACGTGATTGTCATTATCTGCAGGGCAGGACAGGCCCGGCACGTGCCGTCTCCGGTTTACCGATGGGGGGGGACTCTCGTTTGCTCATTCCAGCAGGCCTGCAATATTCCTGTTTTTATGCTTCAGGGACAAAAGAGCATTGCTTGGGGATTCATTTAAGGAATTCGCCTTCCAGAATGATCATTTGGGGCTGGGGGGAGTGGCTCGAATCTGTATTCATCAGATTATTATTATTATTAAAGTGTAAAAGCTGTTATGTTCCCAAACTGCCATGCGTATGTGTTCACTCAGTCTTGTGAAAGTTTGGGGTTTGCTGGGGGAATAATACAGATCAGGAGACAGACTGGGGGGGGGGGGTGCTCCTGAACTGTTACTGCACCCCCATCCTGTCCTCACACAGCCCTGCAAAGTTCTATTTGCAGTTGGGTTTAAAACGTGATTCTCACAGAGTTTCTCTAGTGTTCTGACGTCAGGTCCCGAACCTTGACGTTTCTTGAATATAGCATCTTGAAAAAGAAAAAAAAAATTTTAAAAATCACTTTGTCCCCCCCTTTTTGGCGTACATACTGAATCCCAGCATGCATCTTTGGTACTCTTAACTGTTGTTTTTTGTGAAATAAAAAAAAAAAAAAAAAAAACAGAAAAAAGTAAAGAACAGTTCTGTGTCTGTTTATGGTGTATTCCAATCTGAATTTAATATAGCTGACAGAACAAATCACAGCTTTCTGTTAAAATGCATTAGAGGCCTGTAAAACTGTACAACTACAGTGGTCACAATACAACTGAAAAAACGCTGTAAATACTGAGAAAGAGGACCAGCGCAGCAATAGACGACATGCTGGCCCTGCGGGGAATCCATCTTTTCCTTTAAATCGCTGTTTGGTACAGTGTGCGTGCCTGTAGTGGCCTGTAAGGCATTGCAGCCTGTGAGAGCCATGTAAACACAAGATAAGACGGACATTTGCAATGTATTTAAACTTTTTACACAAAATGTTGGTAATTTTGTCTTTTTAGAAACCACTTTGTATGCTTTCTATCTTCATATAAGCAATATAAAACAAGCTGGCTCAGTGACCTGCCAATTTTCCACAGAAGAGTTTGACATAATCAGTTTTTTTTTTTAAATAACCTACCCTGATTGGTCGCCAATAGGCGGCCTCTTGTACATCTATTTGACTACATAATGGTTGTATTTGTACATATCTGGCTTCTGGCTCTGTCTTACAGGCAGAAACGTCCTCTTTTTCAGTATTAAAGTATCTTCGCTTCAGGCATATAGTTAACCTTCAGTTACACTCTTCACCACAGTACAGTTGTTTGTGTACCTGTTGCAATAGTTTGTATTGGTTGTAGACTCCATTTGTTATGAAACTGATGTATATTACCAACCAAACTCCACAATACTCATTTCTCTTGCAGAAATAAAGAATATTTTGTTCAGATTTGTTTGTTCTTTCATTTAAAAAGTGATATTTGATTATTAAGTTATTCTTGCCAGTACACAACACAGTAAAAACTATGTAGGATGGCACCATGAACAGTGTTGGGGGTTTGGGCATTTCATTAATCTGAAACATCAGCATAGTTGCTAAGAGCCACTTTCAAACACAGTCGTGATTTATCCTTAAGTTAAGGTGAGAAATCGTACCAGCTTGCACTTGTGTATGTTTGCTTTGAAGTAATTAGTAAATTCGGCATGCATTTGCTAAGACACCCCCCTCACACACAGCTGGTACAGGGAGCCATCTGTGCCTTCTCCCAGCCAATCACAGCACTGACACAGCAGGCTGCACCGTTTTGCCTTCAGGGAACCACAGTCACCGAGCTCTGTGCTGAACCGCGCAATGCCCCGACACAGGCAGGCCAAAAGACCCGTTATGAGAACACAGTCAATCTGAGCGATCAGCGGGCTGAAAAAGATCAGACTCCATAAATGAGCGATGAATGGAACCCCCAGCCCCCCCCCCCTGATCGAGCTGACACCTCATTATCACGGTTAATAAATGGCACAAACCCCCCCGTGGTCCCTCAGCTGGCTGATCGGCCTCCTGCACTGAGTGGCACATGTAACATGCAGCTCATTATGTCACCACGACGACAGGCCCTAATGGCCCTCGGCAGCAGTCCGCCGCCCTGACGCAGCAATATGGGGGCTGTCCTAATTAAGATGTGGCTTTGGGGACATCGAGTGACATTCAGGCCCACGATCACTCCGGTTAAGCCTCATTTCTGCTACAGTTACCAAATGCTTTGAAAATCAAAATAGGCATAAAATATGCATTTCTGCTTAACGCCACACATCACCCCTGTGGTCAGCATAGGTAAACAAACTGATTTATTTTTCAAGGAGACCCTTTGGGCCATATTTGATCAGCTGTATCACCTAATGGCCATTGAGTCCACAGCAATTACCTTGGGCAGATTGCGTATCTTTAAACACCTTCAGCTCCGTCCATAAGCCCCGCCCACGTTTGCACACCTGTTGCTCTCAAACACCAGGATCCTCGGGCCCTGCTGATCACCCAGGTCCACAGGAAAATCACATCTTGGATCAACCCATGTACTGGACAAAGGAGACAGAGACACACAATGACCCGAAACGTAAAGGCACATTGGGGGGGTAGCAAACAGTGGATGAGCGATGTCAGTCCTTTCAATCTCTCAGTACCAGCTTCAAACACTACAAAATACAGGCAGCTCTCGACTGCCAACAAGGTCAATCTACAACTATGCAAAAAATATCCAAGAGACAGAGTTTACGAAAACACTAACACAAAAATGTAACATATGCCTTTAAGTAAATGTTCGCAATCTTTCATTAAATTAAATATGTCTTCTTTAGCATAAATGACTGGTACATTTTTGGATTATATGTGTTTTTGCTACAAGGGTAATACCTGGAATGGAATGGGAAAGTAAATATGATTTGTATGAAATCTGACGAGCGTAAGAGTTTGTGGAACGGATTACTTGTGCAGTTGAGAACTGTCTGTACTTGCTTCTACTACAAAATGGCTTCTGAGTAAATCTCTTAATTCCAGAGCAGGTTTATTTACAGCGGGAAAAAATATTTCTCATGGTTTCTACAGGTACAAAGACCCAAGTTCTTAATAAACATTATTCATGTAGCTATTCACCGCATTTCCAATTAACAGGAGCTGCACAGATCAGACCCTTTGTCCAGGTCCTGCCCTCGGTAAGCTGTGTGGTCTCCAGACTGGTATTAGAATAATGAAATAATTCTGAGCAACTGGGGACAAGACATTAAGTTTCTGCAGCCTACCATGGACGGTCATAATTCATGTCCCTTGTTTTTCCCTTGAGACCTTTAATTATGCAAATGACAACATTTTTCTTTGCAGAATGCCCCACTCCCCATCCCTTTTTTTAAACAATGTTCAACAACATCAAAGAGCCAAGCCCAACATGATTTATGTACTCATTAAAAGCCTGGTTGTTTGTCAGATGAGTTTTATATTGACGCCGTGGCGCTGACATGCCTCTCTTCCCAGCATGCATTGCACGCCGAGACTGGCCTTGAGTGAGTCAATGTCAATATTAAACCAGCATCTTCATGCCACAGCCTATTGTTACCTGGGAGGGAGTGACATAAGAATCAAAGTCGACCTTGAGAAAATTAGTTCAGTAGCATATAAACCAAAGATCCCTCGACTGAAGACCTTCTAATCCCTGTTACTGTTCATCTGACATATAGCTCATGTTATCATGCACAGATCTGATACGCTGCTGATTATTAATTATTAACTGTCCAATCTCTAAGGACTTAACATCCTCAAAATGTAAAATGACAGTTCATTTACTTTGTTTTCATATACTGATTAACAGCAATTTATGCAATAGGCACTCAAGTGGTCTGTCGAGTCAACATCACACACACAATTGCCCAGTTAACCAATCCTAATTTTCCTGTTCACCATCTCCGGATGTGTACATCTACCCGCCTTGTATGTTTTTGTTACGCAGCCATAGTTAAGTACCTACCTCTGTACCTGGATAACTTTTCTTCTGGATACATTTTTTATCAGCTTCAAGCTTAGACCTTTTCTCTGCCCCCTTCCTTTGGGCCATCTGGCCCTGAGCTCAGAGATCACCAGCTGGGCTCAGACCACCACCACACAACATATAGACAAAGGATTTACATGCCTGTGATCCAGAGCACCCCCACCCCCTTTGACCTCCATTGGCCCCCTGACCCCAAAAGCTGGACAACAAGGCCATGGTCACCCCCCCACCCCCCCCCATCCTTCCATCATAAAGACATTTGCAATCCCACACTAATTTACTTGCACTTTCTATGGAATCTATTCTCGTGGAGGACCAGTCAATAACAGCAAATTCACTGAGGAATAAATTAGGCAGACAGAGAGGTGAATGATTTTTGAAATGGTCAGGGAATCATTTTCTGTTTTTAATTCTGTCTATCTCTAATTGTGTCACTGGATGGATGATAGACAGACAGACAGACAGACAGATGACTGATTATAAGGACTGAAATGCAATAGTGGACATGGTAAAAAAAAATAATTAAGAGACAAATTATCTCAGACATTTAGCAAACACCTTTACATCACAAAAAGATGTTTTACAGCTGCATAAGGTGTCCTAAAAAAAACAATAAAAATATTTGCGACAAAATAGTTTCCGAACAATTTACACCGCTAAGTTGGGTTTAACTCTAGAAAGTACCAGTCGCCCCAATACAAATCAAGTGAACTAGGCCAAATCAATCTAGAATTCAATGTTACCTTCGGCCCTGAAAACAGAATTACGCTTCAAGGTTTATCACCGCTAATTTGGTCCAGAGGAGCCCGGACCGACTTTAATCAGGAGCCTCGTGCAAAGATATCTCTATTCCTGCTTTTTCTTGCCTGTGCAGCCCTTAATTAGACCCCTGAAGTCTAAGCGGCTCCTGAGAAGAGGGAGGACGAGCACCAGGCAGCAACAGCTGCAGCCACCGAGGAATAAATTAAAGCCAGACAGAGCTTAATAATGTCATAATGAGCGCGAAGCTGCCCGGCGTGCCAACCCTGGGCACAGCCCCGAGGAAATTTATCACCCTCTAATGAGTGCCCGCATTAAATCAGCACTCCTGCCACAACCGGCCTTGTCAAGAAAGGGTGTGAAAACAAAAACAATGAATGAAGGCAGGAAGCGTGGGGCACTTCCATCACAGGGAGCCCAGATGTAAGGGGGCCGAGGCAGCACAGAGCAGATCTCATGGCTAGTTCCCAGCCTTCCCCCCAATGCCCCCCCGGGACACACGTGTATTCCAGCAGCACACCTGTGCTCCGTGCAGTCTAACCACGGTGATCTGTGTTCACCCATAATGCACCAAGGTATCCTGCATGGACCTCAATGTTCATGCCAACCAGACTGTCCAATGCAGTTGACCGTCGCATGTATGGATGCCAGAAATCCCAGAAAATGTATTCATTTGCCGCACCATGGTATGTAACTTATTGTAAAAGCATGCACAATCTCTGCTAAAGCACAGATATTGCAAGAATATTTACTGATACATCCGCATCAGAGCAAAGTATACGGTACGAAAATCTGTCTAGAATCACTCTGAACAGTAAATAGATTCTAAAATCCCAAAAATCAACCCTAAACATGCATTAATAATCACTTCTTGTAGCCAGGGTGCCTGCTTGTGAAATCGTTCTCATTTGAGGTATTCCTTTTGAAATGCGTTAAATGGACCTTCATACACTTCAGCAGAAAATCATTTAAACTTTTATTCGCTTGACCCACTTAAAGACACGCAACTACAGTATTAGACTGCCTTCATAATAGTCACTATTTTTATTTTTTAATCATTGTTTCAATAATGAAATGCACCTGATTATACACGTGCATGACCATCATATTAATACAAAAATATGGAAAGGAAAAATTCATAAAATTCCTATTCCTTGTGCTCATTTCCGCCATACTTAACTAAGAGAATCTGACAGACATTGCCGTAGCTGGCGTTTTCGGGTACTGTGGTCGCCCTCATCGACTGACCCTCACAGGAGCACCTAAGCACACCAGGATGGAGCCACAGTCCCTGATGTGTTTCCCGTGTGATTTACTGGCCGCTTCACACATCTGCTCCGCACCACCACACTTCACTTCATCAAGGCGTTTGCGACGGGGCTGGAAATCTGGGCCGCCAACGGCTCGCGGCCAGCGTGATCTAACCAGGCAGGGGTCAGCTGATCTTTACAGTCTTCATCAACTCCATCTCTCCAGTGGGACAAGCTCGGGTCATGGTGAGTCACAGCCCTCAGTCAAGACGTCAAGAAAGGCAATAACAGCAAAATCGATACCCCTGCGACATGGTGCTGCACCCTGACTGTAACCATTATTACACATGGCAGTGGAGAATTTAAGGAGAAATTAAGCTAGGATACAGTGGGTTCCAGCTGCTTTTTTT